GTGAACTTTCAAATTCGATAGTTGAACATTAACAGATAGTTACCTTCTGGTGATGGAACTGAATTGCTGCATCAACTCAGAATTAATCTAGGTTTGCACAGGTTTAAATAGCTCACTTAATCCTGCCAGTTTTTGGAAGTCCAGGCAGTGCACTCAGCCAGATGTCAAACTGCAAGGTCTGCAAGGCAGGCAGACAGGCAATCACAACCAGAAAGCCTTGGATCTGGATCTTGAAAACCAGGACAGTTCTAGCTTAAACAAACTGGATCTATATGCAACTGTCTAAAACACATTCCATTCATATTCTGGGCCTAAGAATATTTGAAAGTGTGTTGAAGTACACTACCTCATTTCACTTCAGCCCTTGAAACAAAATCATGTGGCCAGCAATTGATCTTTAAAACAGAGTCAGGCTGGTCTGAGGCCCAACACATCATGCTCGTCTTCAGGGGACCACTGCTGATAAGAAGGGGAAGGGGAAAAAAAAATAAAAATCAACAAATACATGGTGACAGTTCCCACATATAATTTAAACCAGGAGAGAACTACAGTAAGGATCAGATCCCTCTGACATAGCTGAGTTGCTCTTCAAGCTGTACTGAATTCGGGAACTAAAAGGCAAACAGAAGCTTAATGTTATTAGCTCTGCAGAGATGCTCCTTCATTTAGTATTTTAAACACTAGGCAATAATTTACTTACCGTGACCTATTATACTCACCATATAGATTTACAAAAATACAAAATCAGCAGTTGGTCACAATGCAAAATACAAAATCACGAGTTGGTCATCTCCCTTATAACACGTGCTGCTAACCCATAGGTCTCTGGGTTTACGAGATCAGTTTGCTTCTTCTAGGATCATTCACTAGGATCAACTGCAAAAGAGCTAATCTTCCATCTACAAGGTTATTTTTAATGAATGCGTTAAATACTTAATGCAGAAATACATCTGCCTGTATAACCAGTTAACACGAACAGATGAAAAGTTTATAAAGGATGCAGTGTTATACAAAAATACAGTAATATTTTGACACATTATATTACTGCTTAACTGATATGAACATAAAACTCCCTTTCAAAACAGAAATATCTTTGAGAAATCACAAAAACAAAGAGCCTTTAAAAACACTTTATAAAGCACTATATTTCTTTCTACATGGAATATAGACACCTAGAAGGAAAAAAATATTATTTAAAAGTAGAATAAATATTTTCTTATCAGATAAACTAACTGGTTTTCACACAAAAATTTTAAACTTTTAAGAAAAAATAAACATTTACCTCTGAAAATTTCAACTTCAATTCTACATTTATAAATCAGATGAACATAGAAATAAATATTTAATATCAGTATATTAATTGTCAAAGAAAGAACATGGGAAAACCCCTGTGCAGAATTGCCTAGGTTTGAATCCCTAGTGTGCATACTCTGTAATCATAGTTCAAAAAACCAAAATAAAATTAAAAATTCAAATCTGTAGAGTAGGTGATGAATAGTTACTTTGCTGACTCATCCCAGATGTATATACAAGTTCCAATGAAGGGAACACCAATGACTGAAGACAGCTGTGATAGTGGTAAGGGGAACAGACCAAAAACCCTTTTAGAGGCATCTCTTCAATCAACTGGCTGCTACAGGACAACCAGGCGATGAGGCTCAGTCAGCATGGATTTATAAAAGGCAGGTCCTGCTTAACTAACCTGAGCTCATTCTATGGCAAGGTGACCCACTTAGTGGATGAGGGAAAGGCCGCGGATGTTGTCTACTTGGCCTTTAGTAAAGCCTTTGACACTGTTCCCCACAGCATTCTCCAGGAGAATCTGGCTGCTCGTAGCTGGGATGGGCGTACTTTTTTCTGGGTAAAAAACTGACTGGATGGCCGGGCCCAAAGAGTTGTAGTGAATGGAGTGAAATCCAATTGGTGGCCGGTCACAAGTGGTGTTCCCCAGGGCTCAGTATTTGGGCCATTTCTGTTTAATATCTTTATAAGTGATCTGGATGAGGGGATCGAGTGCACCCTCAGTAAGTTTGCAGACAACACCAATTTGGGCAGGAGCACTGATCTACTTGAGGATAGGGAGGCTCTGCAGAGGGATCTGGACAGGCTGGATCAATGGACTGCAGCCAATTGTACGAGGTTCAACAAGGCCAAGTGCCAGGTCCTGCACTTGGGTCACAACAACCCCATGCAACGCTACAGGCTTGGGGAAGAGTGGCTGGAAAGCTGCTTGGCAGAGAGGGACCCGC